GATCAGACTAGTGAAAACCATTACCATGTAAAATTCAATTCCTTTCAGTGGTCATCTCCTCCTCTATACTACCCAATGCCCAAAGTTCTCTGGCTTTTAGAGACTGGTTGTAATATTTTATGATACCAGCATAAGTTACCTGAGAAAATGTGTGATTTGAAAGGTTACATACATTCTTAAGATAATAAGAAACACTATCCTGTTTGGAAAATGTGGGTGACATTCAGTCAGTCAGACATATTCAACTTTTCTGAGTCTTCAAAAAAAGTGGTGGCAAATGAAAAGTGGAAAGCAAATGTGCTCCCCCCCGCCATGTGAACCCAGAATTCTATATATGCACATAGGACACGTCAGCCCAGTTCACACATCACAGTAAACTGGATTTTAAAAAAAGACCTGTGGATTACCTTGAATGACCAAGAATGCTATTGCATGCTACTTGATCCTGCTTGGTTTTCCTGCTGATGAGAACACCTGAACTAGCCAAGAACTTCATCCATGGCTTGTTCAGTATGATGCACAAACTAGAAACAAACCCTGAATATTTTGTTAAAGAAACAACAAGCCAAAATTTCCAATTCAGCTGCCATACAAAACAAATTATGTATAGAATGGGTAACAAGCAAAACAAATCAGACAGAGAGATCTTTAGCCAGTTTCGGTACTCCAGCTAGCATACAGAGCTGAACAGTAGTAACCAGTGTGCACTAACTTGCTTTCTTTTTCACGGTAAGCCAGAATTCAAACAAGCTTCAACACACTGCAATGTCTGTACACAACCCTCTACCTTATCACCTGAGCTCCTTTCTAACCCTCACCACATCCCTATATAAAGTGTCCTTACTTAGAAGATTAATGCAAGACCTCAATTTCAACTATATCATTAAAAAGAGTCCTACTTTCTTGTCTCATATGGAATGTATTCCATGCTACATCAATTCATTTGTGTACCTTTCAAAGTATAGCAATAAGAGCAGCTATTTCCAATAGTTCTTAATGTATCATTGCTTGCTGGCTATTAAGAACTTAGTTCTGAAAGACACATTTGTATAAATAGTATATCTATACCATGACAATTAATACATTTTCTTTTTAGGGCAGACTAGTGAGCAATGTAATTCTAAACATGTCTGTTAAAAACTAAGTCCCACAAAGTTCAGTGAAGTTGAATTCTAGGCAAGTGAATATAACACTGAAGCTTTAAATAAACACTACAAAAAATTGATTTGAGGATTATAAAGAAAAATATTTCAATTTTATTTTCAAATATTTCAAAGCTAATGGGAACCATGTCATAGCAGGTTTCCAGACTACACAGGAAAATAATAGTTTTTCCCCTATTTTCCTCTTGTCTGAGGTAGGACAACAGTAAGAAGAGGAAGTACTCCAAGCACCATTTCACTAACAGGAGCAGCATTCAAGTGTAAACATAGTTTTAGCATTTTCTGCATGGTAAATGAGCAATGTTTTCTTCTCAACAATAATTTCTAAAGAGCCATTAGTGTCACAGTGTCCGAAAATGTCTAAATCTTTTAACATCTAAGACGATATATACAGGCAGCCTAACTTACACTGTCTGTGGAGCTGTAGGTTTATTTGGAAAGCTAGCACCAAAGTCCTGCAATCTCAGAATTGGTACTCTGAATGTGGAGCCTACCTCTTCTAAGATGGTATGCAAGGAACCATGTCACCTGCCTCTCTATAGATTGGGAGAAAACTATTATTTTCTGTAGTCTGGAAACCTGCTATGACATGGTTCACATTAGATTTGAAAATATTTGAACATAAAACCAGCCTTAGATGGGAGGAGGAGGGGTGTGCTGGAGAAAGGAGGCTGGGACCAAATGGCACATCAGCCTCATTTG